TTAGTGATAATTGAGCATAATATGCAGCTAGTTTATTGAATGGTTCAATTGATTCAACTAAATCTTGATTGCTAACAGTATCGATTTTACTGTTGAGAATCTTCTCGGATGATGGAAATAAATCAGCTACACTTGTTATTATTGGTGAATCATTCCATACTTGTTTCATACAATAGTCCTTCACAAGACTATCTACATGCTCTTTATGATCGACATTAGGCAAATCAACTGTGATATTTAATTTATCAAAAATAGATCTTTCTAATGTCCATCGACCGGATCGTGTACCTTGAATTTGTTGAGTAGCAAAACCTTCAACTGTACAGATGATTTCTTTTGAGGAAGAGTTTTTGTCACCGCTTGAAAGAATTATTATATCACAAGTATGTGCTTGTTCTTGACTCAGTCCACAAACATTATCATGATAATTACCACGCATCTCAATATTGGAATAAGATAAGGTTTTGTTTGTACTACTAACAAATTTTTGAATACTAATTGGAAGAAATGTTGTATCATTACTAGGTAATAAAGCTATAAGCGGATGAAAACAAGCATCAAGTACTGATGGATGAAGTAGATAATAAGAAGAAGGATCATTGATTTTAGTAAGATCATTTGAAACTTGACCTATAACTGTAGATGTTGTACCTTGTAAGAAGTTCATATTTTGAAATAAAGGTCCAAATTGATAACCTCTTATTGACGCATATCTATAAAAATTTGATGTATCATGTGTCGACCATGTTGTATCAATTATCATATCAGTAGTAAGTATTGTGTTTGGTTTTTGTTGAGTATTATCCATATTAATTCGACCATGAGCATGTAATGTGAATTCATTCAAAGAATATTGACTGAGAGCTTGTTGATCGAGAAAAGAATCAATGAAATCATTACTAGCCATGCCTGATGAATGCATACAATCTGTACCAGCTGATGTCCATGGTCGACTATAGATGGACCATTCACGTTTTGACACATCAAGTTGTGTAAATACTTCTGTCAATTCATGCTGAGTAAGAACGAGTGCTTTGACAAATTTGATTTCTTCTAAAATAATCAAAGGTTGTTCTTTGTTATCAAATGGTAGACATAACTGTCGATAGCCTGCTGTGACTATTTCCAGTTGAGCTGCAGCAGGAAAAAGAATAGCATCTTGAATTTTGTGATCTTTCAAATAAGCATATTGTGGTAGATTAATATTGATAAGACTTCTCCATGTAGCAGTTGTTTGTCCAGTTAATTGACGAACACCAAGTAAAGGATGAGTTTGAATACGATTAGCTAAACGTTTCATAACTGATTCTTTTGATTCATACCAACATGAACTAAGATCAAATGCATACAATGGAAAATCATCAAAGAATGCTTCATCTTTGTTTGAAGATAAAATATTTCGAGTATGAAAATATTGTTGCCAAATATCAGGTGAAATTGTTAATTGTGCTAGGCTTGTCAATATTGTGATTTGTTCATTTTCTTTTCGTTTTAATGTTGGAAGAATAAGTGGTTTTTGATTTATTGATTGATAACATTCTTGAATAGATGTAGCCAAGACCGGATGTGGTGAGAGTTCGAGAAAAATAGTTGCATCATCATTTTGTGTAATAGACACTATAGCATCACGAAATCGAACAACTTGTCTTACATTTGTCCACCAATAATGTGCATTAACTGGCATTTCATTATTTAATTCACCTCCAACGACACTTGAATAGAGACGAGCATCAGCACATTTTGGATTGAACATTTGTTGTGGATCTTTAAGAGGAAGTCCTTGAATATCACTAAGTGATGATAATAGTTCCTTTTCAATATCAAAACGATCCATTTGATAAGAATGAAATGCATTTTCTATGCGAAGACGAGCTTTAAAAACATTAGGATGAAATTTTGAAAGTATTTGTTGTAATTCATCAATAGTTTTCTCATCTCCACTTAGTGTAACCGAACGAGGACTATTAACAACAGCAACAGAAACAAGATGTTCAATATCTTTAAGAAGTCTTTCTTTTACTTCTTCTTCACTCATGGAAACAGCTAACATACGACCACCTTGTCGTGTATTACGATTTTGTAAACGTGATCGATGGTAGACAATACGAACGGCTTCTTGTAAGGTAAGTCGACCGGCAACAAAAGCAGCTGCTTGATCTCCCGCACTATGTGACACAATAGATGATGGATATATATTCCATGAAACAAGTAAAGCTGCTAATGCAACTTGTATAGCAAATAATGTTGGTTGAGCAATATTTGTATCATTAATACGAGATTCTTGTTCATTCTTTTTTTCAATTAACTCTTCTAATAATCGCCATTGACCATTGTTGATCTTTGTCATTTCATTATCAATCAATTGTATCCATTGAGTAAAAACAGGTTCACTTTCATATAATTGTCTACCCATAGCCCACCATTGAGGACCTTGTCCACTAAAAACAAAACATATATTTTGTGATAATGCTACCGTTGGACGTAATTCAATAGCAAGCCCCGAGATTGTTTGTTCGGCAAGAAAAGCATCAAGTTGTTGTTGTAATTGTTGACGATTTGCAAATACAAAGATGGCTAAATGTATATAGCTAATTGTTCGTCGAAGAAGAAGTTGTTGAGAAATACGTTGAAAGAAAGCATGATCATTATCTACATCAGAAGTTGATCTTTTTTGTAACCATTGATTGAATTGTGCTACTTGATCTTTAAGAGATTTGCGAGTTTTTGCTAAAATAGGAAAATAATAAGAATGACAATATTTGATAATCGTCTACTTACTTGAAAACAGAAAGATGAAATATTGTTTGTTTTCTATCTGATGGTGTCCATTAGCACGATCATTTGTATATCCATTAGTAATGGACTTTTTTGCACTGGGTCGATATTCTTCGACAATGGCATGTACATTGTTACCACCCATGCCAAATGAATTGATACCTATAGCTATCGGATCAGTGTCAGTGGAAGGTGGAAAAGGTACAGAATGTAGAACAACATGAAGATTATAACGTTGTGCTTCGATCCGGGGATTAAGTGATGTGAACTGCATATTTGGTGGAATAGCTCGATGGTGCATACACATAGCAACTTTGATTAATCCAGCAATACCAGCTGCACCTTCTGTGTGTCCCAAATTACTCTTAACAGAACCAATTAATAGTGGAGGTTCAAGCGATGATCGATTGAAAAATCGACCTAGACAATTTGCTTCAATAGGATCACCTACTGGTGTACCAGTACCATGTGCTTCCATATAGAAAATACGTTGAGGATCAAAGTTTGTTCGCTTGTAAATACTAGTGAGCAGACGTGTTTGTCCAGCAGCTGATGGAACAACATAATTGCTTTTATCTTCATTTCCATCATGATTACTGAGTACATCGCGAATAACACAATATATACGATCACCATCACGTTCAGCATCACTCAATCGTTTCAACATAATAAGACCAAGACCATCACCTAAAAAATGTATTATATTAGATGTATGCAAATATACTTCTTACCTTTAGCGTAACCATTAGCATCAGCACTAAATGATCGACTTCGTCCATCAGGTGATAAAGCACCAATATTCGAGGCATGAAAAACACTTTCTGGTGCAAAAATACCATTAACACCACCACATACGGCGATATCTGCTTCGTATCTACGAAGAGTTTCTACAGCCATATGTACAGCTTCTAATGATGACGAACAAGCAACGTCTAATGAGACGTTAGGACCTTGTAGATTAAAATGGTATGATAATCGAGCTGCAGCATTGTACAATAAACTATTGGGTCCATGAAATCTTGATCGAAATTCGGGTTCCATTCGAATTGATGCGTGCGCATGATCTGTAGAGAATTGCCCTATGTGTACAGATGTTCGTGTACCATTCATTTTCTCAATATTATAACCAGCATCGTCAAGTAAATGAACAAATTTAAGCATCAATAATCGATGACATGGATCTATGCTGCCTGCTTCTGCATCGGACAATCCAAAGAAACCTGCTTCGAATGTATCCCATTGGTTATTCGAGAGAAAATATCCTCTACGAATAAGTTTTTTCTGGAGTGTTTGATTATTGTCCATATTGAACATATGAGCACAATATGAGTCAATATCAAGTCGATCATGAGATATTTCGCTACCGACATCGCGACTTTCTTCCAATGCATGCCATAGATCATTTGGTGAATGAATATCACCAGCAAAGTCACAGGCTATGCCTACAATAGCCACTGGTTCCAAGAAGGTGCTAGTGGGTGTCATTTGAGATATGTTGGATAAAAAGCTAGTTGATTATCAGAAGAAATGAAACAAAAACTGATGAAGTTTTGATCTAAAAAAAGAAGTATTGAAAACTATTGTGTGTCAAGAACACATAATACTAAAGAGAAGTCGCGAGAACTCTCCACAAACAAGCAAAGGCAAGATTTTTCGAGTGGTTTCTTCGTATATCGAAAAATATACTTTACTAATCTATAGCTGTAACAATCGGCGAATGTTTCATTCTCGTCGATCTAAATACAAAACAATAGAATTTATCTGTAGCAAAATATTTACTTATTAACAAAATTGTATAATCATTAAAATGAAAATTTATTTTTGAATGTTAATCTGATAAAAACGATTGAATCTTAAACTGACTTTTTTAAGTAAAATTGTATCAGATCTATGCAAAATAATTAAAATAATAATATTTTTTCAAATAACTAACTATAAAACTCGTTTAACCCATTTATAAAGTGATGTATTTTTAAGTTGAAAATTATTAATAATACCACTAATAAAATTAATGGTTAACTCTAATAACGCCGAAAATAAAAATATCGAAATATAAAAATATCGAAAATGAAAATATCGAATACAAAAATGAGACTACAGACGGCAATATAATAGTGTGGGTGAGGGCGAAAGGTGTTTCTACGTCTATTTTATTTCATTCTCAACATTCCTACTTTTCTACTTATGCAGCATTTGGGTTTTCGATATTTATATTTTCGATATTTTTATCTTTCGACATTTTTATTTTCGGCGTTATTAGGGGGAATCAAATTAATATGTTCTTCTGATAAATTAATTTTATCAAATAATTCAGTTTCTTCAATAAATCGATCAAGATTAGCTAATTGTCTTTTCGCATCTTTTTGCCGTGTTATATCAGCTGTTCGAGATTTTACTATTTTAATATAAAATTTTACAAAAATAGAATAAATCAGAAAAATATTCTAAACTTACAATTCATAATAATAGCAGCTAATGTATCTTCAACTGATTTTTCTACTTCAGTAGCGAATCTTAATTCTTTGAATGATTTCATATCAAGTATTTTAAATTAATTTTGGTGCATCGGTTGCAATAGCTAAACATTTATAAAGATTTTTTTGTTGCGTTAATTCATATTCAAGTAATAATCTTTTTAATTGAACTGTTCGTCGTGTTTGAGATTTATGAGCACAGATTTGTTGTTCAGCTGTAACCATATCTTGACCTATTTCAACTAACAACATACGTACAATACTCTAAAAAAGAAGATTTTAGATTTTATATCGAAATTTTAATAAGAAAATTTTATCTTTAACTCGTGCTGCAAGTATAGTTTTTTCTTGTTGTCATTCTTTTTCTAATTTAATTGGTGTTTTATGTTGATATTGAATTCATTCAAAAAGAGAAGATGTTGAACGTCACAATGATTTTCATGAACATTTGATGATTTTTCATTGATTTGTTTTACAAATCTAAATGAAAAAATTTTCTTTTTTCGAATTCGAATAAATGTACTTCATTTTCAATTACCTTTCAACAAATTTCGTAAATATATGATTACTAATATGTGATAATTTCTGTGTATGATTTTGATTTGCTCGTCAAATAAAAAGATGCATTGAAGCAAGAAGATGAGCTGCATTTTCACTTGTATTATTATCCAACTATTGAACATATTCTTTTTTTTAAATTAAAAGAAAAAAACGTTTTTCTTATATAATTATAACAAAAATCATTATTAAACCTTTTTAATGGTAAAGACTATTTTGTACAAGTGTTCCAATATTCCAATGTTGCTAATAAATTACTGTTATATTATTAAATATTGTTGGATAATCAAGACATAGTTTATTATTTATTGCATTTACTAAAATAATGACGCGAATATTTTCTTTAACATTTTTATAAATATAAAAATTATTTTGTTAGATTTTGATTAATTATAAAGCTATAAGAAATACAGAAAAAAAACAGTATAAAATTCAGGTAGACGAAACATACCTTACAATTCTGAAATGGTTGTCTAGCGGTGGGTAAATAATTAATATGATAATGAGAAGAAAAACTTCTCAAGAAACAGCTTTTGTATATGTTAAACTTGCTTGTTGTACTTGTGTACGATCAGAATATATAACATTGTTTCTTCTTATAAGGAAAATAAACTTGATATATCTTTTATATTAATTTAATTTGTTATATTAATTATTAATTCAAGATATTGAAACTTTTCTTCTTCGATTATTAATAAAACAATTGTTTCATTCTAACAAAAGAATAAGAATATTTTCAGTTTTATTAAAGAAAATTTTATAAAACTAACGCGAATTTCTACACCCATATATGTTTGTATTAATTATTGTTTAATAAATGATTTAATTTCATCATCAAATCTTATTAAATGACTTGTTTTAAATGAAACTAATTCATAATAAATAATTGATGAAAATAATTCAACTTTTGATGGATCAAGTACACTTTCAGCCACTGTACAACAATGTCCATCAACTGTTTGAATTGTATAGCATAGACGACATAATAAATCAATATAACACTAAATAAAATATTTATTAATTGAATTAAAATAAGCTAATGAATATATATATATATATATATTGAACTAACTGAATAAAATGGAAATGATATTTTAGGTTTTTCTTTATTATATTCAATAAGACACCACATCCTCACTCACACTCTTAATGCACGAAAATATTAACAAAGAAGAATTTACTTTTAGCATGCAAAGTATTGGCTTCCATCAAAATCAACATAGTTTCGATGTTTCGTCTGCTTTCCGTAGTGTTTAAGTGCCGTAAGTTGATCGTGTATTGCTAAAAATTGGTGAATTATGTGCTTTGGTATATATAAAGGAGATACATACTCACCCCTATGCGGATTCAAACTAGTTGCTAATCACTTTAAAATACGAAATTTTGTGATGGTCGATGTTAAGGACATATATTTTTATGTGTATACTCATTAAAAATAATATTCAATAACTAGAAAATAGAAAATATTATTAAGACATATATATGAAGGACATACATGTTTACGTATATGCTCATTAAAAATAATTATCAATCACTGTGAAATATAAAATTTTGTTATGCGAGTTATCAAGGAAAAACATGCTTACCTGTATACACATTAAAAATAATAATTGATAACTCTAAAAGATAATAATTTGGTGTGACAAGTAAGAAAAAGAATGTAAAGAAAAAATCATTTAATTTTTCTCACTCCCCCGATGTTGAATAAGGTGACGGAATGAATGATGTTTGTATAATTCTCGTAGATATTTTACATTTATTTGTAGATAATTATAAACGTTCTAGTGAATTTGCTAGATTTAACTTAAATAAATTTTTCTCTAATATGTCACATCTATATAAGCACATGATGATGTTAAAACGATTGCTTTAGCTCTAGTAAAATATTGAATATATTCTACATTATATGAATATAAATTATTTCCATCTATGATATTTCGACTAAAATAAAACAAATTCAGTTGAAATATATCCTTACAATAATAAAAAGCAATTAATGTTTTTTTAGAGCATATATATTGATGTTTAACTTCATAGTCATCATTTTCTGTATGAAACCTGTAGTTTCTAAGCTAGATGTGTTTAAAAAAATTATAAATCACAAGACATTAAAAATGCATATTATATGTTGAATCTTATTAAATATCTTTCAGTTTTCATTGTTTAATCTCATACTTACTATTCATTTTTTTATAATTCTATTCGATTCATACTAGTCTTTTTTATAGTCATCTTCATGAACTTTGTTTCTTTATTTTAATTCACTGAGACAAACTTTCTGTATTATTTTATTTATATGAAAGTGAATTTCTTTTTACTCAAAATTATTCTTCGTAGTTTATTCCACCTGAATAGAATAATTTGTGATATCATTTTTTTGATGATTTATTTTTTGTTGATATTCAATTGTAAATATTTCATACATTTATTAAAGATATATAATTGAAGTATAAAGATAAAATTATTCTTTAAATTATATTTCAAATATTTTCACTTTAAAAATATAGAATAAATAAATAGCTACTATAATGATACAAATATATAGATGAAACAATAATTATCATTGTTTAATTAAATATCGTAAATAATTCACACATTCCTGCAGGATGAAAACACACAATTATATTGACCTAAGTCATTTCCAAATCATTCTTATAAACTTTATAAAATTACTTTCATCCAGTAAAAGTAGGAGACATTCCGTTTGTTCGATTTATTATTTTCAAGTTTTTTGCACATGCATCAGTGGATCCACAAAAACCTGATAAAATTTTGTCGATAAATCCAATATCAAATGATGCAAGTTGATGTTTAATATCTCGTATTGGACTATAATTAAATAAAATAATATATAAAATCGAAACAATCTTAGATAAGAAACAAATGAGAGTAACTACTAATAGATATTCTACAATCGGAGAATAGAAATGATTCTTTAATTTTCTTGCCACAGATAAAAACTTATTAGAATAAAATAAATAGAAAATATTTTCATAGAATTTTATTTAATACTTATTTGTATGAAAAAGTCTTTCGTAATCTCACTATTCAAGTCAAGATACTTTATTAGTCAAAGCATCATATTTTTATTTATATTCTATTGGAAATTGTTTAATTGAATGACTACATATTATTCAGTATTTTTACTATGGTAATGATATTTTTTTTCTGAATTTACCATACCAAATCTGATCTTGTATGTTTGCTAATGAATAGTATATATAAACTTTTTCTTATTAACTAGTTGATAAATAGTATAAATATCTATCGTTTCGAGTTCAATTAAGTGATTGGATATGATTGACTCATTATTACGAAAGCGATTATCTGAATTTATTTTAAAAAATAGGAAATTCATTCTAATAATGGTCACTTACTTTTATTATAAGTTTAAACTAATAATTATTATAACGTTTGTATTATCTTATATGAAAGTCGTTACTCCATACAATTAATATAAGATGTACAACACAACCAAATATAAGTATTGTTTTGTGAACCAGTGACATACATCGATGAAATGGAATCCAAGACATATTTTATCAGATACAGCTGATATAGTTTTAAATCTAAAGAAATTTTAGAATAAAACAATATAGTAATATAGTATAATTACATTAAATTTCTATTCGGAAAATAAGAAAAAAAAAGATAAGTTGAAATTACGAGTAACAAAAACAAATTGTTTAACTTTTTCTTTTCAAAATTAACAATTATGTCGGTAAGAATCACTATAAATTTCATTGTTTTGGATGATATTTTATAGAATATAGCACCATTTTGCTCAATGTAATCGTAAAGAAAAAATCGTTTTCTGGATAGAATGAAATTCAATTGAAAATGTTCGAACAAATATTGTAAAAATTTCGAGAATATTGACTTTTTTCTGTACGATAAATAAAAAGTTGAAAATCATATAGAACTTTTTAATAAATTTATTTTTATATTGGAAATTCTTTTTTAAATCAATATGATAATATTTTGTTTATTTAATTCTGATTAACAAAAAACAAATAAGATTTTTTTTTCCTATATTTAATTAAATCAATAATAGAATTTAATGAATTAAGAAATATTAACTTTTAATTATCGAAGATTTTCTGTCATATTATGTAATAATAGTGTTAGTTTTCAAGTTTTTTTTTAATATAAATATTCATTCTCGCAAACAATAAACTTCTAATAAATCTACTTACTCATTTTCTTTTCTGCTTCATTGGTTTTTCTTCGTTCTCTTTTTACCTTCGAATAAGATAGTGAATCGAGTCTCGTGTCTACCTCAATAATGATTCAAGTTGCTCGTTCGTTCTCTAATGTACAGTATACAGTATACAGTATATGAGAGGTAACAGAACGAAATATTCACGTTTTTGTCTCGTATTCGTATCTCTTCAGCTCTCTCGTGTAAAATCAATCAAAATTCTTTAATAGTTAATATGTCGCCAAAAGGAGTCAATAGAGAAGACAGCGCTGACTCATTGAATTAAATGAATCCTTCGAAGCTCCAAGTCCCTACAAAGAAAAGTGACTAACGATAAGTTCAATCGTGAATAACTATATAATATATAGGGAAAACTATGCTATAGACAACAATGAACAAGTCAAACTGGTTGATCACAAGCTCAAAGAAATAGAAGGATCTGCGTATAAAATTTGCGGACGCTGCACTGGTTGCTATAAAACAAAAAAGAAACAAGAATCAAGGGAAATGAACTATGTAGTGACAAAGAAAATTACAAACTTTCTAATGTGACTTTGATAAATTCTTTCGTCTTTAATATTTTAACAAGAAACACCATATTATGGAATAGAATACTCAAAAAATATCGAATATAGAGCAGATGACACATTATATGTAATCTGCTATCTAAGAAAAAAGTAAAAGAAAGTGTTTTTATATACAGTTCGGATTTGTTAAATTTCTATTTTGAATTCTTCGATAAGATAATATTTTGATTAAAATATGTTATATACAATGAATTAATTATCAATTTTATTTAAAATAAGAGAGAAAATGGATTAAAACTAATCTAATTAATATAAGAAAATCTATTCATTTAACTTAGTTTTTTTTTCATAAATTTTCAAATTAAAAAAAAAGAATATTGTTGTAAAAATATATTCAATGAAAATTTTCAAATTGAAGAGAGAAACAATTGATTAAAAACTTACATAAATCACCGGAGATATTTCTAATATATATTTTATTCATTATTTGAACAATTGTCATCTGATAATAAAGAACATAACCAAATTATTTCAATTTTTTCACCAAAATATAAAGAAAATATTGTTAAAAAGCTTTTTCTAAAACTTTCTCTTTCACATTTAACATAATATTGAACAAAATATTCTATAATAAAATTTAATTGGTTTTTCTCAAAGAAATAAAATAGTGCAGAACAAAGTTAAACATTTTTTAAAACAAAATCACTCAACCGTTTTCACGTGTTCTATGGAGATGAAAATGCGACACTTGTTCACTACGAACATGTATACATGTTCATGTCCAACAACACGAATGTTAAATAAGGCTTATTACGATCGCACTGTCATATGCATGCAATTGCGACGCAGTCACGTGTAATTACAATGAAAATATCTTAGTTGAACGTACGTATAATGAAAAAAATCATAGTTATGATAAATGAATTAGATTTTGTCAAAATTCTGTCACATATTCACACGGCAATCCACTGTCGATTGATCTTGATGTTGTAAGGGAAGCGTGTCAGATTGATATCATTTCTTTCTTTATTTAAAAATGCTATTATGGAGGAAATAAAATTATTTAAATGATTATTCGAACAAGTTTTCATCAAAATAATCTCATATGACATTAGATTATTTCAAAAAAAAATAATATCATTGCAGTTGTTTCGTTATATTTTCACGAATTAATGGAAAAAAATTGTGAACGATATGAAACTAATTAGTTTCAACTATTTATAATAGAGAACACGTTTCTAGTCTTGGTTAAAAATACTTCTATGAGCGTCGCATTGTTGTTTAGAAAAAATGATTTGCATAAAACAATGAATGTATTTGTATTAACAAGATTGCTCAATATCTTTGCGTTACTAAAATATTTTAACATAGGACATTATGTAATTAAAGACTTTTGAACCTTAA